TGACAAAAGAGTAGCTTCCGAGGCTGCTTCTGTACAGCCAAACACCTCCTGGGATTGGCTCATTGACTGGGACGTCTCAGTAAACTAGCCTTGTAACAAGGTCAGGGCTTCCACTCTGCCTGCAGCTCAGTGCTCAGAGCCCAGGCTTGCAAGCAGCCTCCAGGGGACAGTGGGTGTCTGTGCACCTGCAACGGCAGGGAGGGAGAAGGGATGGAATCTGTGGCTAATTCCTGCACGGACAGTCTCGGTTGCCGGGGGACCAGAACTGGATGGTGACCGGCTACCACTATGAACATTTTGGTTACCGACTCCGTCGCAGAATGCTGATCAAAAGGTGGAAAATACACAAATTCTCATGGACTCCACCCAAACTTTCTGGAGCCCTGGAGGTGGGGTGAACTCCCTGAAGTGTTTGTTCTTAAGACCAAGCAATAGTTTATCTTGCCCAGTGAAGTATGTCCGCCCTGAGCATTGCTTGTGCTCTTTGAAGACGTCGCTCTGTGGGTCAAAATCAAACAGCAGGCCCAGAGATGAGATAAAAGCTGGGGCCCAGCGAGGGCGGGGCGCTCGGAGGAGGGAAAGGCTTATCTGCGTCACTAAATGGTGCAGGTAGGAATGGTTGCGTTGGTGTGTCCTGCTGTGTGGTCTCAGTTTTACAGCTTATGCAGGTTTTTTAAAAGCTGGTGAATTCACGTCTTGTCCCCAAGCTCCAGGTCCCTAATGATCCAGACCTGTCCCACCTTCTGGATACAAAGACACACACACACACACACACACACACACACACACACACACGAGGGTGACCAATGGTCCTCATCCTTCAGGAGGGCTCGGGAAGAGTCAGCTTCCCTGTCCCCTCCCCAAGGAGTAGCAGTACTTGTGGTCTGGGGGGCACAGCTAAGGGGAAGACAGATGGGGAGCTTGGTGGCCTTGGGGACCTGCGGGGGTGGGGTGAGGGACCAGGGTCAAGCACAAATTGGGAGGAGTGGTACTGCACGTTCCTGGGCGTAGACGGGCTAAGGAGGCGGGTGACCGTGAGCCTTGTGGGCCTGCAGACTGTGGAGAGCCCCATCATTGGCCCCTAAGGCCTGAGGGTCCAGGGAACTGGGCCTGGGCCTGGGATCACAGAGCATCAGCCAATACGGGGTTGGGAGAGGCTTCTGCCCACCCCTCGGGGCTGCTTCCCTAGAGGGGGTGATGGGGGACTAGGTGGCAGCTGCCCAAGACCTGTGCTCCTCTGCTGTATTGGCTGCGCTGCACGGGCAGGAGTGGTCTCCACATGGAGGCCTGGAGAGCGCACTTGACCCAGGCTAGGGGGGTTGCCCACCACACAGAAGACCCCTCTTCACCCTGGCAAACCCCAAGCACCCAGAGCTGGTCCCCAGGACAGCGTCCGTGGGGCAGGCAGTGTCCTGAAGGGCCAGCTGGCTACAGGGCACAGGGAGGGGTGGGGAGGAGGGGCAGAAGCTGAAAAACAGGTCACCCGCAGGGGTGCGCTGCCCAGGCCTCGGAAAGCTAATTTTTGGCGGGAAGCGAAAACGAGGCAGCCCTTTTAACTAGATGGATCGACAGCAGCTGGTGGCTGGACTCCAACATAAGACCCACCGTGAGGATGGCACCGGCCCTGTCAGTGTTTCGTTCTGTTGTATACACCGACTCTAGACCACCGAACCGCAACAACAGCTGTGCAGGGCCCAGGGTGGCACCAACTGTGTGCGTTCAGCCACACACTAAAGATGGTCAGTCCAAACCCACCCAGGAGCGCTGCAGGAGAATGCCCTGGAGATCGGCGCCCATAAACATGCCAAGGAGACCCTCGGAGCAGGTTCACTCTGTACCACCCGTGTCAGCCGGGGGGCAGGGGCAGGCGGAGGGTCTGGAGACCACACGGGGTGATACTCTCAGAGGGGTGACCTCCAAACGACTGTGTGAAATGATTGTGCCCGAGACACGGATGATCATTTATGCAAACATCCCAGCCATTCGTTAGGTAAGGAGCCCGGTGGCGTAGTGCTGATGCCTTGGCCTGCTCACGACAGGTCAGCAGTTCAAAACCACCAGCCGTTCCACAGGAGCAAGACTGGGCTTTCTTCTCCAGTGAAGAGTTACAGTCTGGGAAACTCATAGACAGTTCTACCCTATCCTGTAGTCACTGGGAATCAGCATCAACTAAATG